ATATATATATATATATATAGAAGCTTTCTAATTTCCCGGTCTGGCTTGCTCGAAAGTAAAAGAAAGAGAATGAAAAAAAAAAAAGCAACAGGCAAAGCCGGATCCGGCGGAAAATTGTTTCCAAGCGAGCACCATTACCCCACTGTACCCACATCTATCCATCTGTATCTATATATACATGTATACATATGAAATAGTGTACGTAGTGAGCCTCTCCCTTCACCTGCAGCTCTATATAGCATTAAAAAAAAAAAAACCCAGCAAGTAAAAGACAGCGCTGGCCAAAAAAAAAAGCTCGTGTAAGAGCCGTCGGGATATTGTTTGTTTCAGGTACTGCCGCCCTGGAAGACGGCCGAGTCCGGCAGCATATCGTTTAAAATCCGCACGAACGAGCCCAACGGCTTGGTCATGTACAGCAGAAGCGGCTCGACCACTCGGGTAACGCATACGAGAATTTTATATTTTTTTCCCCCCCAAAATGTCACTTGTACGAGTAACAATGACTACGATCGCCAGAGCGATTTGTTCGCCTTCGAGATCCTCGACGGCTTCCTGTACCTGCACATGGATCTAGGCGAGGGCCCCGTGAAGGTCCGGGCGTCGGAGAAACCGATCGACGACAGCACCTGGCACGAGATCACGCTGAGACGAGTCTTGCGGGAAGGCCGGGTCGTCGTGGACGAGTCACCGGTCGAGTTTCGGCCGCCGGGTAAGGATCAAAGGGAGAAAACGATTGGGGTTTTTTTTCCCTCTTCCCATTGCACATAGACTCGAGAAACAACCATTACTAATATTTACATGGACAATAACTATGGCGTATACGTTCAACATCCGCTTTTGCGTTGCACGATGAAAAAAAAAAAAAAATAAAATAAAAGCTCGGAAAAGTTGTAAAACGCGCAGCTGTGAGCTTTTATTTTTGTTTGTCGAGCAAAAGAGAGGAATAAAAGAAGGCAACTGATCCCCCAGCTTTTGCCCGCTATGCATTCGAGCTTTTTTTTTTTTTTTTATCGTACCGCGCGCACAAACGCTATACATAAACCTATGCTGTCTCCTTTTTTTTTTTTTTTTTTTTTTTTTTTTTTTTTTTTTTTTTTTTTTTTTTTNGTCTCCTCCACCCAGTTTTCACGTAGACGTACGACTCGAGGAGAAAAATCAAAAATACGACGTGTAAGCCACAGACGATACACCGCGTTGCCTGACTCTCCTCGACACGCCAAGTGAATCTGTAAGCGAGAAAGAGGCGCCAAAGCTACTACCAGCTCCACCAGCTCGGAGATGCGCTTATATCATCGAGCAACGGTACTTTTTCGTAATCGCTATCTATCGCCTACTCCTCTCTTTTCGATATATGGTTGAAAGGGAAAAAAAAAAAAAAAAAAAAAAAAAAAAAAAAACCCCCATTCTAGAGACACTGCGCATTAAAACTCATAGGGATGGAAAAAAAATTATAAATAAATCTCGTAGGATATGGTACACCTATTAAGCTCGCTCCTCCACGTAGTACCCCGTGAGTAGATATATACCATTCTCGGATCTTTGAGGTGGACCTAATTATATTAGCAAACAGCCGTGGAAGAGACGGCCTCGTCTGGCGCAAGAGGGTGGCTGGGTCACGAGGCATCGTTTGCTCGGGCAATATATACGAGTACGTTTGCGTAGCCGGCTGTTATATACGCTCTCCTCCCGGCCGAGAGAGCTTGCAGTGCGCACCCGAGCGCAGCCAGTTTAGTCCTCTCTCTCTCTCTCTTGGCACTCGAGGGAGAGTTTGCTCGCGTTGGCTCTCTACACGAGCTGTATAATGGAGAACAGTGTGTACAACACGACGACGAGTGACTCCCGTGCCACACGGCTATAGCTTGCAAGCTCTCCCTCTCTCTGTGGGTATATCGTATATATGTACATGTACACGCCACGAGGATTGATCAATTCGCCGGTGCAGACGAGCCACTTATTTGCTCCTCCTCTCTTTTGTATTTTTGTTCCATTCATGCCGACGACGACAGCTGCGTCAGCTCACTCGTTGCACTCGCGTGGGGAAGAGCTTTTTTTTCTTTTCTTTTTTTTTCACCCAATATCCGATCCCTCCGGCTCGCGTAGCTTTTTTTCCCTCCTCCCTTTGACGATCGTACACGCGATCTGGCCTTTCGTATATACGATCGCGAGCCTTTATTTTTCCCCCGTAGCAAATGAATGTCACATAATAATGGTAATAATGAGAAAGCTCGGTAAATAAAAGGAAAATAAGGAGGAGAGAAAGAAAGTTGAGGGCTGTGGGGAGAGAGAGAGTTCAAAGCTTTTACGAGAATTAATCCCGGACGAGAGCAGCTCATTTAAATTCCCGCTCGCGAAAAACTTTGAAAGGGGAGTCTTGGGGAGTTCGAGAGGTATGGAGTCCCGCAGCCGTGTATATATGCTCGGCGAAGGAAGAAGTGACGCATAGGGCAATCAATGGCAGGGGGGGGGGGAAATTATGCATTTCCCCAAAAGAGAAAGAGGGCCTTCCAACAAAAGTCGAACCGATGGAAAGCAGAATATATATATATACCTGCACGCGATAATGGTATAGTTAAAACATCAACCACTGCACCGCATTGTAATACGGGAAAAAACAAATTTAAAAATGACGAGTGCGTGTTTGGGGGACTGGCCTTGTGCAGGTGACCAGACGCAGCTCGATTTGGATGGTTTGTTGTACATCGGTGGGGTCGGGGCGCCCTTCGCACCGCTTACCGTGCCACCGGTACTCTGGACCGGTAGCCTTCGCCAGGGGTATGTGGGCTGTATGCGCGACCTCGTCATCAACGGCCAGCCTATTGACATTGCTGGATATGCCCAACAGCAGGACTCGGGTGAGTTGATTGCCAATATACATCTCCCTCTGATGTCCTTTTACGTATATATCATGGTTGTATACACATGTTTGCTGTATACATATTGATCGAGGTCGCATTTCGCCGATGAGCGCTTCGAGGCGGCAGAGTTCTACCTTATCTTTTTAAAAGGGACTTTGATTTTTTCCTTCCCTCACTGGTGGAGGGACAGTTGTTGCTTACCTTTTTTTTTTTTTTTTTTTTATTGATTTTTACATCATTGGAAATTCATTTCTTTGCAATTCAAGTGCAAAGTTTTCGTTCCCCGGATACATTGTACGGTAAAAAGGAAACCTGCCTGTCTCTGTAGGTATAGGGCACTTTTTACATCGTACAAAAGAGCGCGTGCTCCATTTATTTTTGTTACAAATTGCTACGAAATTTATCAAAATTTATTGCCAAAGTTCAAATCGTTTTATTTTTAAGTATATTCTTTCGTCTTGAAATAATTACAAATTTACTTACGTGATATTATGCAACTTGGAGAATTTTGTTTCATTTGCATTGGATAATTAGATATAATTATGTTTAATATTTTATCGTTCAGATCTTTGCTGTGAAACCTCTAAAAACGAGAGAAATTAATAACAAATTTTTATTGCGCGCATATTTCTGAATTAATTAATTTATTACCGAAATAAAAGCATTAGCAGTTATTAACATTAAGAATAACGTAATAAAATTTATTACGTCAATCAAATAACATGAAGATGCAATAAATGCAACATTTTATACGTATAATGTACATTAAAAAAAATCCGCTACGGACAGGATTCGAACCTGTGCGGGCATAGCCCATCAGATTTCGAGTCTGACTCCTTAACCACTCGGACACCGCAGCTATGTCTGGGCAATGCTTACAAGCGGTACTTTTCCTAACTGCTCCGTCGTATCGATAACGACAGTTACAACAGAGCAAATTTAAACGAAACTTAGCATTGCTTATGAATGAATGAATGAATGATAACGATTGTTTTTATTATTATTATTATTTTCCCGTTTAGTTTATTTAAATTTTATAATGAAGAAAATGCCTCGATCAATGGTAATTTATTTGTATTTGCGAAAAGTTGAAACAAAAGACAAATATTTCTTTCAACTCCTAAAGGAGCCGTACGACCAGCTTGCCATGCCCAAGGGGCGCACTGCAACTCCCGTCCTTGCATGCACTCGGGCAGGTGTGTCGAGGGATGGAACAGATACCACTGCGATTGCACGGGAACGGCCTTTACAGGCGCCACTTGTGGCAAAGGTAAGGAAAACAACGCAGTGAATTCGGTCAAATTGCCTTCAAAAATAAAGCGCTAAGTCTAAGGAATTCGAGGAAGAATCCCTTTTTTTCTCATACTTACATCGACTTATATTGCAGTGGCAATGACCAAAACACACGATGGGATTAAATTGTTAGCCCTTTTTTCAAGGCAATTCCGAATATATTATTAATTGCATTATTTTCACAGCTCGGTACACGTGTGTTTGTCGAAATGTGTGTTTACAGACGCGTCGACGCTCTATTTGAACGGCTCGCAACAGATGACAGCCCTTATGCCCGAGGACTCGAAAACCCAAGCCGAAGAGGTCGTCGTGAGATTCAAGACGACCAGGCCCCGGGGCTTGCTTCTGGCTACGAGTTTGGAGAACAGCGTGGATCGGCTGCAGATTTCTCTCGAGGACGGGGCAGCCAAGGTTCTCATACACATCGACCAGCAGGAGAAGGTTCGTTGCTATTGCAACATCTTGCTTATGTGACACATTTTCGTGCACACTTGTGACGAAATTTTTTTTTTTTTTTTTTTTCAGACTCTCGTAGTTGGACAGGGCCTCAACGACGATCAATGGCACACGCTGAGGTTTTCGAGGAGAGCCAACATAGCCACCTTCAGAGTGGACGAAGAGAAAGAAAAGCGAGGTACAATTTATCCGAAACATCGGCTCTTTTCGTCCGAGAGATGCGTGTATCAAATAACGATTGATTAATTTGTCCAAACTTAGACGACTCGATATTCTGCATGAACGATCTCGAGTTCAAGACGATGCATGTCGGTGGCTACCTAAACTCCGGCGAGGAGGTACCCCACTTTGTCGGGGCCCTCCAGCAGATCTGGTTCAACGGCTACCCTTACCTCGAGATAGCACGAAGCGCCGGTACCCACCAGACGGCCCACCAGGGCCTCACGCCCATCATCCGCGTGACCGGTACCTTCGGCAAGCGAAACCATCCGGTCCATCATCCCGTCACCTTCACCTCCAAGCACACCTTTGTCGGCCTACCCGTTCTCAAGGCCTACGTCGAGACCAATATTTACCTGCAGGTATACTTACCTCCCCGTAACACCACATGACACGACGAACGACAACAAAAACATCATTGTTACGTTTGTCCGCAGTTTAAGACGCGGGAAGCTAACGGCTTGATACTTTACAACGCCGGTCGCGAGCGGGACTTTATAGCGGTGGAGCTCGTCAATGGGCACGTCTACTACACGTTCGATCTGGGCGACGGACCAGTGCGGCTCAGGGACAGCACGAAATCGAAACTCAACGACGGACAGTGGCACGCCATCAGCATAGCTCGGCCCGCGCCGAGGAGGCACGCCCTGGCGGTCGACGACCACGTGGCCGTGGCCAACAGTCCCGGAAACAACGAGAACCTTGATCTAGATGGTATCCTGTACATCGGTTCGTGTCAAGGCTCTTTGTTTTCTCCACCCCCAAGTGTATAATTATTTACCAGTCGAGCCACGCTGATGTCTTTTTTTTTTCTCGTTCCGTTGCAGGGGGCGTAGAAAAAGCCCAGTACTTACAACTGCCCAACCCAATAGTGAGCAGACACGGTTTCGAGGGTTGCCTGGCCTCCCTGGACCTGAGCGGCGAGAGTCCGGATCTGATATCCGACGCGGTTATACCAAGTTCCTTAGTAGAGTCGGGATGCGACGCTTACGCGAACCTACATCCCGGGAAAAAATGCACGCACGACATGTGCGCCAATCACGGCACCTGCGTGCAACAGTGGAATAGTTACACGTGCGACTGTGATATGACCAGCTTTGCCGGGCCGACTTGTGCGGACGGTTGGTCACATTTTTTTGGATTCTCCATAGTGTCACTGCAGTATACACATATTTTCCTTGGAATAATTTGAGCTGTTTTTTTTTTTTTCACCTTGCAGAGGCCGTATCTTACGAGTTTCGAGCGGAACGTGGACTCATTACTTACACTTTTCCGCCAGACAGAAGGCCCGAGATGAAGAGGGACACCCTAGCCGTGGGATTCATAACGACCGTCAACGACGCCGTCTTGCTCAGAATAGAGTCCGCCTCGAGTACCGATTACCTTGAGATCAAAATTGTACGCGATACTTTGACCTTCTTCTTATTCTCCTTAATTTATTTACATTTACCTTGTCATGTATTCCTCGATTGTTGACAGGTTGAAGGAAATGTGTTTGCCGTGTACAATATAGGAAGCAACGATCACCCGATCGACGAGATCGGCATGAAGGTAAACGATAACCAATATCACGTCATCCGATTCACGAGGAGCGGTGCCAACAGCACTCTGCAAGTGGACGATTACAATCTTCAGTCCAACCATCCACAAGGTAAGCAAACACCTCGGGCAAATGTATATTTTCAATCACTTGAATCATTTCACAGTTGCTTCGTAACACTGTAAAGTACGTGAAATGCAGTTCCTCGGAGCGTTGTGACGACAGGACTGATCGGCAAAAGCCCCGTGGAAGCTCTTTTATACATGCACCCACGGGGCAAAGCGGGCATGGTTATTGGGCGTTCCCTCGAGCGTGGGATCCATTTCTTATTGGCGTAGGGCGCCGAGGCCTCGTGCGGCGCACAAAAGGCAAAACTAAACGCTCCAAAGGCGGGGCTACTCCTTTCTAATACCTCTATATACGTTGCATAATGTATTTACGCATGCATAGCAGCGACCGATTAACAATGGGAAGCACCGACCTTCTCCTTGGTCCTGCTAGCCTCGACGCTTTTCTTTTTTTTCCCCCAGCCCGTTTTCCTTTCCCCCTGAGGTTTCGCGCCCGTATGGATGGTTTTTCTACGAGGGCCAGCTCCGCTGGATTCCCAACCTCCTGTTGCTCGTGCGCCCCTGATGTAAAATGGAATAGATTAAAAGAAACGGTACTAGCGACGTTACAACGCTCTCTATCTCCCTGTATACTCGCAGGACGTAAAAGCCTTGCAGTCGGGGCGAAAATGAACAACAGATGATATCTTCCTAAGAATTTTTCGCGGAACGAGATAATCGTGTCTCGATGAGTATATATACTGCAGCCGCAAGGATTAGTTTTCCCGGGAGCGCTGACATTTTTTTTATTTATGTTTCCCTGTACTCGGAAAATCCCCGGAAGGAGAGAAAAACGGTCCCCTTACGGGCCACTCGCATAACACATTTATAATACACACAGAGCCCAAAGAAGGGCTGTTGGGACGGGGGAAAAACTTTTCACGCGACAGCTTCTAGTTTCCTAGTAGAGAAAACCTTGGGACGCTCGGAAAAGCTCGCATCGCGATGCGCCACGTACAGGTCGTAAATCGTCGCAATAACCAACCCCCACCGCGTACGAAGCGCGCTCTTTAAACACACCGCACAATTTTCACAACCCTGAAAAATCCAATTTGCAAGTTTAGTGTATTTAGATTGTACAATACGAATCGGCTATTGCACGAGTCTGCGGTCATGAATAACCACGCAGGTATACGTACCGAGAAGGACTTTGGGCCCGTCCGTCCTTGGCAACACCTGACGGAGGACCTTGAGCTCATCCCTCGCATGTTTCTCCCGATGGTTAAAATGATGCCCCATAAGAACATAAATATTGTGTACAACGAAACACGTACAGTACAGCCGATCCTGCCGTGAGCATGTACATGAAACGAGAGAAGGGAAAGTGGGGGGAGGGGAAAGGACGATCGGAGCAGTATATAATATATATAGGTAACGAAAGCGCCGGGGCCCCATAACGCGAGTGAGTCGGGCGAGCTCCTTTCACCTCGTGTCGTCCTGGCACTCGTAGGGGATCCCCGACTTTTCTCCTACGTACTCCCATAGCAACACTCGGCCTTTTCTAGCCGGCATTCTCGTCTAGGAGGAATGCGGGCCCATTTCGCTTCCCTCTCGCGAGCTACATATATACATGTAAACGTGGGTCTCTGTACGTATATATATATATACACGGAGACGGCGAGTTTTATGGTTTGCCGAGTGTTCATCCTCCCGTGCTCGCGCTTGGATAAGTATACACGAGTACTTGCAGGAAAACCCGACTCGTACACCGATACCTCCGGCAGATCGGTCCTATGAGCTTCATCACTATGTCGCTTGACCTTTTTCGTATTTTTTTTTTTTTTTTTTTTTCTCTTCTTCTAATTTAATGATTGTTTATTACATGTAAAACGGAAACAACGAACTTGCTGGCATTAAATAATGGTATTACTTTGTCGCCAATTGCAGATCGTAATCGGTAACGGAATAAAAAGCGAAAACTCCCAATAACTTTTAACAGTAGGATCGGCGCGCTATGACAAAATACACGATCTACGTATATATTACATATTCGGTACAGCCTTGACTATATTACGTGCAAAAAAAAAAAAATGTATAAATCCAAGTCCTTGTACATATACTATGTAGATAAATATCGGTATACAGTCGGTCGGCCGCGGTTGCCATACGCGTGTGCAAATGTACATGTGCTCATTATCCACACACACACACACCTATATACATGTACGTAGAGCGGCGGTAAGCAGCAATAAGGAACAGGAGCCCCAGGAGAGAGATTCAAAGAGACGCGCGAGCGAGCGAGGAGGAGATGCCGCGGGTTCTCTTTTTTGCTTCAATTTTTTTTTTTTTTCGTCCGCCGTATAGCCGTCGTCGTCGTCGTTGTTGTTTAATCAGCATACATTTGCCTGCTGCTGCCTGCCTGCCGCGCCGGGATACACTTAATGCAAAGGCGGCGCGTATGTATATACGTATAAGCGCACAATAATGTATACACATACATCCTGATGCTCTACTGTAGCATAAGAGCCTGGTAACTAAATTTATCAAATTATGCGTAGTCGAGAGAGAGAAAGAGAGAGAGAGGGGGGGCCAAGGGGTATATGATAATACCGGCGATGATGATAATGAGTCCCGGGAGATACGGCCGAGAATCGCGTGTGTACATATACGTGCACCGCGAGTGCGCGGGTGATGGTGCATTCAAACGCGAAAAGATTGTATGTATGTATACAGGTACGGTCTCTCTCTCTCTCTATGCGATATGTGGCGTGGATTGCGGGGCGTGGTGGACACAGCTCTTTGGTGCATTTCCATATGCACACGCCCTGCAGCTTGTGCACCGCGTTGGGTACAAAAAACTTTTTCAACATACCGCGGCCCGCGACCGACTCGAAGAGGGAGAGCGTGTGTTTGCACCTCCGGCAGCTCCTCGCTCCTCATGATACTCTGGCAGAGCCGCACTACTTTGCTTCGATTTTTAACCCTTTTCTATCGATCGCTTGACAAATTGTTTTTTTTTTTTTTTTCTGGACAATCGACACGCGCGGTTCTGCGTGCGGGGCTTTGAAGCGCCAATACAGAGTTTGGTTGACCATGTACGCGGGTTGTATAGTTTTTGATTTTTTTTTTCTTTTTTTTTTTTTTTTACTTTGGTGACAAGAAACTGCATTTTGGCTTTGATTTTGATTTTTTCAATGTTTGATTGTTTTTTTTTTCTCCTTTCTTTTGCAAATTCGCTGCCAATGAAAGCTGTTTGCGGGGTTTTTATACGTGCGATGACAAAGAAACATTTTTATCACTTTTTTTTACGCGTAACATTATCACGGTGAAATTTGCAAAATTTTAAATAATCGTGTAAATGGTTGTTCACGTTGTACCTACCTTGCGATAAAAATTCATTGATGTATACGTGTATAATGTACCCTTCAACACGATAATTACCGAGAAGTGTGTTATGTTACCCGGATGAGAAAGTAGCACTTCCTTTCTGAAATTAAAAACTTTCGTGCACAGCTGTATGTAGCAGCTGTAGGCACGTATCTTTATCCGGGGGACCTCGGGGTTACATGGGCATGAACATTTTGCTCTCAATGATTTTTCTTATACGTATCATAGACACGGAGAAATTGTCGAAAAATTTAGATTTCACCCAAACATTAATACACAACAATAATATTACATTATAGAGTATACTCATTGGTCAAAAATCTTTTCAGTTATAATACACGACATTTGAAATCGGTAAGGCATACTATCCGGTGTACGCGCCGGTGAACCCGGTTAATGTACTTTTAGGGGCACGCTGCATCGTGTACGTCATGTGCCAAAAATTCGAGTAAATTTTTTTTCGATTGAATACACTTTGGCGATAATATAAGAAAAATAAAAATTAAACTAAAGATCGTATGGTAGTGTTGCATTGCGATACATCTTTGTAAAACGAAATAGAAATAAGTTGTCAGTGAAAAAAAAAAAAAATAAAATAAAAGAAAACGATAAAACTGTATTAGGAAATTCAATAAAAGGAACTCTTGAGATTTTTGCTATCCGGATAAATTTAGGTCCGCAATGAAACACTTGCAAAAGAGATATTCTCATGTTATTCTGATCGCAGACTCGGACGCACATCTCATTGCGCTACGTACTTTTCTCTACGCATCTTAGTCACGCAAAAATGATAAGTAATCTTATTTTGTCTGAACTCGATTTTTCTCCAGCAATTTTCGTACTTATAACCGCAGAATACTTGTGGCAAAAAGAAAATCGTTGCAACGATCGTGCCACTATTTCTCCTATTCAATAAAAAATCAACCATACCTACCCGAAATTGTAACAAGATCGTAAAACCGGTAGATGTATTTGAAAGTCAAAAAATGTACTGAAAAATCACAAAAGAAGAAATAAAATGAAAAAAAAAAAAGAAAAAAAATCGGATTGGCATAAACAAAAATACAAAAAGAATCATCGGCTATTGGCTCACCCGTCAACTGCATGAATCAGGCTTGCATCTGCGGCGCAGCGTATGTATATATACGCGTATTGCAACAGCCGCAGCCGGTTGCCGAGCAGCTTCTACTATCCTGTTCAGTAGAAATCGGTGAGCGTTAGGAACTCTTTAACCCTTTCTAAAGAGAAGTGCGCTGCGCTACAGCTCCGTACAGTGTGCATTACACACGCTCTCTCTCTCTCTCTCTATTACGTATATAGACCTACGCATAGATCTCACCACCCCACTTTTACTCACATGTTAGATTTCTCCTCTAATCCCTACAGCATGTATGCTCGACTATACGCCCGTCCGTCCGTTTGTTCGCTCGGCTTGTCTTGTTTTTTCCCAAAAATTTTTTTCCCTTTTTTTACCTCTCTATACTTAGGTATATATAGGTATATCCACACACGTTGAACCAGCTCAGATTTTTGGACTCGCAGGATTCTTCCTCCTGGGACCTCATGCTTTTCTGCTTCACATGTGGAAATCGACGCTCGCCCCGAGCTACGATACCTAACGTACGTGTACACAAGCATACCGGCATCTTATCTCGCGCTTATACCTTTATTCGCTTC